GCGTCGCTGATCTCATGCAGTCTATGACCTTGATCGAGTTCATCCCGGCACAAGATGGAGACAAAGCCAAGCTTGTAGAGCGCGCTCGTCACTTTCAGTACATTTGGGCCACGTCAGTATGTCACTTGGAAGAGCATTCGTGGCTCGAGTCCGATGCGCAAGGCAACCTTATGGTACTCCGGAGGAATCCCAACGCGCCGACAGAGCATGACCAGAAGCAGATGGAAGTCATCAGTGAATTCCACCTCGGAGAGCAGGTGAACAAGATCCGATCACTCGACATTGTTCCGAATGAGAACGACCCGATCGTGCCAAAGGCGTTCCTCGCAACAGTAAGTTAACTTCCAGCCTACTATGCAAAACAGTTGCTAACATTTGCCCAGGTTGAAGGATCGGTGTATGTGTTTGCCGACATTAGGCCAGAGCATCAAAGTCTACTGCTGCAATTCCAAGAGAACTTGGCCGGAGTAGTGAAGACCCTGGGTCAAGCTGACAATGCACCTGGCGCTGGGCTCTCATTCATGTCATGGCGAGGTTTCCGGAACGCAAAGCGCGCGGCAGATGCGCCCTTCCGTTTTGTCGATGGGGAGCTGATTGAGCGTTTCTTAGACTTGGATGAGGCTAAACAGGAGGCCGTCGTTGCAGGACTTGGGCCGACGGTTGAGAATATGCGCAACTTGGTAGAAGAGTTAAAGCGCATGCATTAAAGCAGCATATGGTGATGTAGGATATTTAGAAACGGGGGAGTTGGGCGAATGGACCTGAAATGAATGACGCCCACGGCTAAGAGTAAAAATAGTGCAAAATAAGACATCTTCTACATGATGACAAAGTTTCTATCCGATTGCCTGGCGAATTAATGTCGTGAGAGACGTGCACATGACGACCCACTGTCTGGGGATGATCAAGATAGAAATTTGTCTTCATGTTGATTTTCCTAATGGGGGATTTGCAACTATCCACATCGTCGCAGTCATCACTCGTGCCACTCCGGAAAGGGCCGGGTCCCAGCTGTACCCACCAACCAATCAACATGCACCAATTTCAGAACCTTCTGCCTGAGGCGACCAGCCAGAAAGCTTTCGGCAATCCTCAAACCACGGGCATCACGAAAAAAGACGCTCTCCTGCTAAACGTCATCCCTCTCCCCAATTGCATCTCGCAACAACCTCTTGCCGCCGCAAACCCTCTCCTCTCCTCCTCCGAATCACGAGATGGCGCCCCTCGCACACGTATCCCGCACCTGCCTGCGGCAAATCGCGCGCACCAGCCCGTCGACGGCTGCGCGCGCGCTCAGCACCTCGGCCGCCCGGAACGACTCGACCGCCACGAGCTACTCGAGCCCCTTCAAGGGTGCCCAGAAGGGCAGCAGCATCCCCGACTTCAGCAAGTACATGAGCAAGGGCTCTGCCGGCACCAACCAGCTTTTCGGATACTTCATGGTCGGCACCATGGGCGCCATCACCGCCGCCGGCGCGAAGTCCACCGTCCAGGGTAGGGAATTACCTCCTTCCGTTGCCCCGAAATAAAGACAGGCACCGAAATCGAGATTTCGCAAAACGATCTGGGATAATTGGAAGGACGGGGAATGGAAGTAAAAGGAAACAATTGCTGACAGACCGGTGTCAATTGCAGAATTCCTCGTCAACATGTCCGCTTCCGCCGACGTTTTGGCCATGGCCAAGGTTGAGGTTGACCTCAGCACCATCCCCGAGGGCAAGAACGTGAGTTGGCCCGATTACAAAGCCGAGCGGCGGCACGCAACATTGAGACGGCCGTACTGATATTTGTGGACGACAGGTTATCATCAAGTGGAGAGGCAAGCCCGTCTTCATCCGCCACCGCACCCAGTCCGAGATCGACGAGGCCAACAAGGTCTCCGTTTCCTCCCTCCGTGACCCCCAGAAGGACGACGACCGTGTCAAGACCCCCGAGTGGCTCATCATGTTGGGTACGTATCATTCGACGACAATCATTTTAATTGTTGTGGTGGCGAGCTATTGCGGCCTTTCAGCAGCTGGGGCTGGATATCAAGGCTCAAAAGCCGCCCGAGCAATCGCACAGCAAAACACAAGTTCCAATTCAGCGAACGTAAGCTAACAATTTGCCTCCTAGGTGTCTGCACACACTTGGGATGTGTCCCCATTGGCGAGGCTGGTGACTTTGGCGGTTGGTTCTGCCCCTGCCACGGCTCCCACTACGATATCTCCGGCCGTATCAGAAAGGGACCCGCTCCCCTCAACCTCGAGATCCCCGAGTACGACTTCCCCGAGGACGGCAAGCTGGTCATTGGTTAAGCGGGATCACCTGTATGAGTATTTAAGCAACGAACAGCAGCGGGAGAGAGTACGAAAGGAGGCCAGAACCCCCCTCCACTTCTTCGAGGGACTTGGGGAGGGCTTTGGCCGAAATGATGGCAACAACAAACTACTAGAACAACATTTTCTTTTGCATCGGAGACCGAGCTGGTGCTGGTTTGGGTTCCCACAAAGACGAGAGAGAGGTGTCCATTTTCTTTTTTCTTAGACGTGTCCCTAGGGCAATAATGCCAAATGTACAAAAGTCAATGAGCGTCCAGGAACAAGCAAGTCTTCGCAACTTTACAACATGCAGGTATTGGCCAGGTAAATGTGATGTTTGCTGCGAGCCACTGATATAAGGAAAGAAGCCGAGGCACCCAGAGAACCACGAAACCATGATTCGAAATACCGATACCCTGACACCGAAATTCAGAGACGGCGCCAGGTGGACGGCGTCACAGTCGTAAAGTGACCGGCCGGAGGTCTTCCTATGGAGAGTTTGGAGATTTTGCGGTTCGGTACAAATGTGACGGGGGGTCGATCAGACTGGGCCGCGCTCATGTGACAAGTCAACGTTGGTTCGGAGCGAGGATCCCGGGTACGACTGGACCAAGAGCCGGCATCCCACTATCGAGACTGCAATTACATAGGACAATCGATTGTCGCGTGGATGTATGCCACACCTTTTCGGCAGATAGCGGTTTGGGCGTTTCCGGAGACGGAATACATCATACGGCGCATGATGAACAATGCCTTGACCTCAGTTGAGGGTGGGATGTCTGTCTGATCATTGACCTGGGGGCTCACGCTGGGCTTTTGTTATGGTATGCGGTGACCACGGCTAGGACTGACAAGGCATGACGGCGGAGAGGGTAATTCGTCTGCATTCATGTTTTGCGTCATGGCTCATGAGGTAGATATCACAAGATGGTTTCCTCGCCAGGCGCTTAGAGTGTTATACAACCCAAGAGTAAAAACCAAGGCAAAGGGAAAACCGCTTCGTAATCGAACTTTCAAAGACACGGGTGCCGCCATCGATCTTTGGTTCTCGTCCAGTTGAACCTTGAGAGCAGGTGGCATAAACAGATCGACGTATCTTGCCGACTTGATGAGATGACACTTTTCGACAGGCATAAATCGGACAGAACATCCGGCAATGATGCCGTCCATAGCAAAGATACTAAGCTAGATCTAGGCGCCCTTCAAAGTTCAGGCCACGATAAAACATGGGACGGCAGGTGGTTGATCGATCTTGGTGTCGCAAAGTCCGACTTGGACGAGATAACAATAACAACTTATCATCTTGGCAAGCGAGCAAGGATAACAACGACAGAAGTTGAGGAAGTTGGCAGGTTGAAGTTGGATGGGGGCCTGTTACCCCCCGGCCCATGCCCCTGCGACTCCGGGTCTCCACACTTCTACCAAACAGAACGTGGTTGAGCCAATGAGACCACATAAAAAGACGGCAGGAAAAGAGTGGATGAGACGCTGTTCCGCGACGGGTGCCGTCTGATTTGCAAGATCCTCAAACTCTGCTCAACTTCAGCATCCCCCTCCAAGGACAGGGGGTCGGTGGAGGCCGATTGGGGGCAGCCGGGACCATCTCTTGGACGACGATCTGGCGATGAGGCTCCTTTTGAGTTTGATATTGGAAATGGCAGAGGCAGATGCCGGATGAGGTTGCCATGAAGAGCGGTACCAAAGCTCATCGAGTGATGGGTTTGTTTATGCGGCTTTCGGCAGAGGGAGAAATTCTATCATGACGGCCGATGTGCTCGAGCACATCCTCCAGCTCGAGTTGAGTCGAGAACTGGGCTGCATTATCAGTCGCATTCGCTAGGTTCTCTCCACCAAGCCTGTGCCAGACAACGAGGCCTGGTTATTCTTATCTCATCTACCCTTGCCCATCCCTCTTTGACGAGCCCGTCACTTCTACGGAGTACTACTATTCGGTCCAGCTCCCGAAACAGTCCAGCGAGCCGTACGCTACCATGGACCATGAGCCGCATGGCACGCCGCCCCGTCTCTCCGGAACGGGATGAACCCTTGGCTCGCACACGTCGAACGGTCGCCACGTCTCCTGTCTCCAGTCTATTCACTCCTATGGCCAGACCGTATCGGAGGGCTGTCCAGCCGACGGTTCCCCTACTCCACCCCAGCGCCTCCGTTCTGGGTTCTCTTGTTCGCAGCTCTGCCAAGCAAGGCCGCATCATCGAGCCCGGCAGCGTCTATCGTACCAACGTCCCGTTGATCGACGCGTCGGCTTTCCCAAGCGAGTTTCTCAGGGGAAGGATTCAACGTCGCGGCCATGAGACGAACCCAAGATGTTGGTGGGCTCTGAGACTTGCCCACCCCTCCCCTGGTGTAGATGATGGGCTTGCCGCGAGCATGTTGTATATAACTCGGCGTCTGCTCGTCTTGCCCAACGGTTGAAGGAAGAAATCGTTTCCTGTCTTTCAAGCCATCACCGTTTTCCTTCTCTTTCGTTCAGTTCTGGGAACTTTGTGTATTTCTACCAAATCTTCATTCTTTTCATTTCTTCTAGGCTCTCTGTCCATTGACTGTTCTCTTGGGCCGGCCCTTCTTTTGAACGTTTTACATCTTCATTAACACTCTACCTTCTCGATCAAATTCAAAAAAACGAGAGTCTCTTCAGAAATCTTCGCAACAATGAAGTTTCAAACCTCCACCGCCCTCGCGGCCCTCGTCGCCTTCGCCGCCGCAGAAGTGCCCCAAGAACACTCACACGAGAAATACCTCCGCGCCGTCAACGCCCTCCTCAAACAAGACAATCCCAACAACATCCAAGACGCCGTCTTCGGCCTCCTCGGCAACGCCGCCGCCGCCGCGGGCGCGGGCGACGTGACCAACCTCGACTGCCTGCACCAGACGACGGCCGACTCGGCCTTCACGACGGCCAAGGCGGCGGGCGACGTCGACGGCATGGCGAGCGCGCTCGTCTTCCGCGCCGTGGAGCGCAACACGGGCAAAGTCGGGCTCAAGAGCGTGCTGTGCGACGAGACGGCTGCGAACCCCGAGATTGCGGCGCTGAGCCAGCACCAGGATCCGGCTTCGGATGGAGCGGCTGAGACGAATAAGGCTATTACACTTGAGCTTGCTAAGCAGCTTTCTGCTATTGGGGCTGATCCGCAGCTTGCGCTTGATGCTGGTACTTTTGAGCCTGGTGATGTAAGTCCTTTCCAACGACAAGGTGAAGGCTCACGGGGTATGAAGACTAATCTGTAGACAGGTCAACGACAACACCGGAGCCGGTAACACCTGCGACGATGCCAATGATACGGAGGGATGCATCTTTAGCCAGAACCTCATCGTCAAGGATGCCACCCCAGAGGAGATTGATGCCGCTGCTGCTGGAGGAGGTGCTGGCGGAGCCGCTGCCGGCAACGCCACGTCCGCCGCAGCCAACTCTACCGGCAAAGCAAGCCGCTCGCGCAGCAGAAGCTTCCTGAGCCGTGCCATCCTCTCCCAGCGCGATATTGAGGGCATCAGCGCCTCTGCCTCCGAGAAAACCCGTCGCCAGTCGAAGAACAAGAACAACAACAGCAACAACCCCAACGCCAGCAACAACAGCACCACCGACGCAGCCACAGGCACGACAGACGTCCAAACCTTCACCGGCACCCTCGGCGGCCCCGCTCCGCCCGTGACCTCGGACCCCTCCGCAGACAAGCCCTTCTCCGTCAACGGCGCAACCTTCCTCAACGCCGGCGCGGCCCTGCAGCGCTCCTGCGCAGTCCAGCACAACGCTTGCGCCAACGCCGCGAACTCTGGCTCCGGGGACATTTCCGTCTCAGACTGCGACGCGCAGGAAGACGACTGCCTCGCGGCCTCGTCGCAGACCAAGCTCCGTCGCGCGTCGGGCCTGAACGCGCGCGGTGCGAGGAGGATGAGGATCGCGACGACGGCGTTGTTGAAGGGACGACAGGCGTTTGAGTTTGGCGAGTGCCAAGACCCGAGTATTGAGTTTGCTGAGGGACTTGATGGGCGCAAGGAGGCTTCGTTTGCTCCCGCTGGCGACTTTGAGCATGGCAGTGCGTTGAATATTGGTGTGATTTCGGGGTTCATTTGTGGGCAGTTGGAGAGCCGGTGTCAGGCGGATGAGGCTGCTGTTGCGGCTTGTCAGCAGGGTGAGGCGGCTTCTAAGGGGTTGAAGGGGCAGGCTGCTGCTGATGCGTTCAACTCTGCTTTGGGGCTTTGAAAGGTTTGAGTAAGGTGTGGTGATGCTTAGTGAGAGGGAAGATGTGTATGTGTTCGAAATGAGGATGCTATCGATGTTGGATTAAAGCTTCGAGTTAGACACGAGATGACTGATGAATCAATTTGCTTGTTTCGAATTACTCAAAATGATTGTATTCGAGTGCATAGAGTTACGAGTGGTACTCTTGGTACGCGTGAATGTGAAGCCATGTAGTTATTTTCTAACCTCTGGTGTTCTACATCAACAGTGATGGAATTGTAGTCGAGCTTGAGAATCGCAATTGTGGTAATGAAATTCGACAGATTCATGCATCAGTGCAAAGCAACAATGCTAATTAACTCATTCTCGGCCGTGGTCCCTAGATCAGCGTGCGCTGCCAATGAGAATCCAATCTTTTAGATGTGGACATTTTCATGCAGGCGTTTTCCTGGATCTCAGCTCCAATCTCACTCCACAATCCCCAAAAACGCCGCCAAACTCTGATTTTTTCTTCACAACACCCAAATCTCAAACCTCCGACACCAACACATTTGTACTCACCGAACTTGAGAAAGAGAGCGCCGCATCACACATTGCGCGCCCTATTTCATCATGGCCGAGTACAAATACACCCCTCTCGGCGAGCGGGACTTCCGCCTCCTGTCTCTCGCATCAGGCCGCTTCGACGACGCCCTTCAAGGCGATCTCCTCACCCGGTCTATCGACACTTACGTCGAAGAGGCAAGCAAACACGAGCACGAGCTGCCCGAATCAGCCGACTCATATGAAGCCATCTCTTACGTCTGGGGCTCCAACGAGAAACCCTACCACATCACCACCTCTGCCGGCGCAAAGATTCCCATCACGGAAAGCTTGTATCTCTGCCTCAAGCGCGTGCGCCTCGAAGACCGAACCCGCCTCGTATGGGCGGATGCGCTGTGCATCAACCAGGCCGACGGCAAGGAGAAGGAGGCGCAGATCATGCTCATGCACGACATCTATCTCAGCGCGCAGCGGGTTCTCGCCTACCTTGGTGAAGAGGCCGATGGCAGCAGCGAGGCGATGGAGCTTATCGAGCGGTACTGGCGCGTCCACATCCCGGACCCCCTGAACGCCGGCGCGCGCGCGTTCGCAGAGGATCTTTTGGGTGCGCCGATTCCCGATGCGCCGACGGGCGCTGGTGCGGAGCTGCCTCCCGTGGGCGCGGACAAGTGGTTGAGCGTCTCACGGTTCTGGAACCGCGCTTGGTTCCGCAGGGTGTGGATCGTGCAGGAATTTATCCTGGCGCGGGACGTGATGATGATGTGTGGTGAGAAGACGGTGAACTGGTCGCAGCTGTGGCCAGGGACGATTGCGCTCGAGGAGCCGGAGAACCCGCCCTGGCCGTTGGTGGATGCCAAGGGAGAGGAAATTGAGAGCGCGGCGGAGTTGATGGCGAATATGGCGCAGAGGTTGCGGTTTTATCAGCTTGGCGCTATGAGAGGGAACACGAGGTCTCATGAGCATGAAGGGGGTCACGAGCATGGTGGCGGATGTTGCGGTGGAGATGACCATGATGATGGTCACCATGAACACGATCATGGCCATGAACATGGCGATGACTGCGACCACGACCACGACCACGACCACGAAGAGGGAGCCGATGGCGACGACGGCGACGAAGGCGAATGGGAATCAGAAGACGAGGACGAGGACGACGGCGGGAAGCGCTCGACAGACCTCCTCAACCTCCTCATGTCCTTCCGCGAAGTCGACGCAACTGATCCGCGCGACCTCTACTTCGCGCTCCTCGGTCTCGCCCTCGACGGCGACAGAGAAGAGTTCCGCCCAGATTACTCCGCCACCTTTGAACAGACGGCCCTTCGCTTCGGCCGCACCCTCCTTCACGAGCCCTTCAGCGAAGAACTCCTCGACCACGCCGGCATCGCGGAGAAGCACAACGGCGCAACGCAGAACTTCCCCTCTTGGCTGCCTGACTTCCGTCGACCCTGGCGGCGCATGACGGTCGCGGATGCGGCTGAGTCCGAGGCCGCGGGCGAGACGGATTTTGATTTCGGGTTCGATCCGAATGCCGAGGAGGATGAGCTGCTTCTCAAGGGTATCAAGGTCGATACGATTGAGCACATGAGCGGCGTGCCGCGCGCGGCGCATTTGCATGCTGATCACCCGTCTCTGTGGGTGAAGCGCGACATGGTGACTCTCTCTCAGCTGCTGTCCAACATCCCCGGCTTCGAAGACTCAATGTACCCGACAGGCGAGAGCGGCCTCGAAGCCATCCTCCGCGCGCTGACCTTCTTCCGCACCGAGGGGGAGGGAAGCGAAGAGGACGAGATCCCGGCCACGACGCTGAAGCTGGCATGGCGCTTTTGCACCGCCGTCGAGGAGGACGACCTCGACGCCGCGCGGCCGGAGCGGGATATCCTGCGGAAGGAGATCATGATGTCTGGTTGCACCGCACAGGAAGCCAACGAGGCTCTGGAGGCGGCGGCGCAGGTGCTGATGAACCGCATCTTCCCGATGCGCGCGGCGCTGGATTTGGTGTTGGCCAAGGGCGGCAAGTACGTCGCCATGGTGCCGGAGGGGAGCGAGGCGGGCGACGAGGTGTGGGTTATGAAGGGGTGTAATGCGCCGTTTGTGTTGAGGAAGAGTGGTGAGAGGGAGGGGATGAGGAGGATTGTGGGTGCGGCATACGTGTATGGTATCATGGACGGGGAGGCCGTTGAAGGGGTTGAGGAGTTTGAGGCTGTTTCCATTCATTGAGAGGGATGTAAGGATCAATTATGATGGTTGCACGTGGTGGCTTCATGATGGTACAAAGGGGGCTCGGACTCGGAAACAGGAAAGGGACTTGGGGAATTGGTATAATGCCGTACATAGATGCTATGAAACAACTTGGTAGGAGAAAAGAAGCAGTAGTTTGAGGTGAACACTTCACCATTTGTACGTAATCTTTCCCCGTCATGAGTGATACCTTGATGGCCTCGGCAGGGACTCATCCCGGAAAACTTGAGGCAATCACGTACATACGGCATATCAAAGCTGAACATACTGAAAAGCACATTCGAAACTCAAGATATTTTCCTCAAACTTATTTCTTGTACTGGAATATATTTAGATTACGTATTGCTCAGCCGTCTACTCGAAATTTGTCCGCAACGTCCATATTTGGCTGTTGAGGCTGGAATGCTGATTTGAAATAGGGGCTACGCCACGTTCGTAATCTTCGAATGCTCTTTGACAGGCTATCAAATCACAAAGGATGACAAAGTCGAGGGACTCATCACAGTAACCATTGAGAATGTTGGTGAGCGTCCGGGCTCTAAAGTGGTACATGTCTACTCAGCGCCACCGTAGGACGGCACTGACAGTCGACGGCAGCCGAACGCTCTACTTGGCTTCGAGAAGGTTCACTCGGGTCCAGGTGTGCAGGAGGCATTACAAGTAAGTTTCAAGCCATATGGTGCGGCATTTCGGGAAGATGACATGGGGTAATGGAAGGGAATGTAGATGCGGCAGCACATACAGTATACGTCTCAACAAGTTCTCATCCTCGTGGTGTCATATGGAAGCTTGTGTTAAACATTGCCGAAGGATTCGCCTCCAGCCCTCGAAACCTTTATAATAATATGAATAGAATAGTCTTATAGACTCATGATCTGGTGTCCCGCTAAAAATATTAGTGATCGTCTGGCATAGGGAAATCATCTTTTAAAAGTTCTCATCAATATCCTTCCCGCCTGCTCTGTCCAGGACAATGTGTCACAAAACGGAACAGAAGACGGCAAGCAACAACTATCTCTCTCCTTGCGTGTACAAACAAACGAAACCATAAATGAATTGAAGTGACGTAGACGGGTTGATGGATTGACACTTCCACATAATCATCGCATCGCTGAGTCCTGGATTTGCTTGTCTGATGGATTATGGGATTGACAAGTTGTAGTCCGAGTAATAGCCACGGATGCTTTTGTTCGAGGAAATGGCACATGGTCAACAAGACTGGTTTATAGATGACAGTAGAATGATGCATTGGAGAGAAGCATCCAAGAACGTCATACTCTGGGCCTTTCAAAATTTACCCTGGTAACATCGAGTCGACAGGTCTAGTGAGAGAAAGAGACCATAAGCGCCATTTTAAATCACCCGAAGCAGTGGCAAACATAAAGCCAGTCCCCGTGCTCGGTGTTATAGCCGTTGCGATGACCGAGTTGGAATGGGCGTTCAGTCTGGCAATTGATCTGCCGGTTTCCATGTCCCAGAATCGTACACTCCTGTCCTTGCTGGCGGTCACAACCCACCCATTGGACATAACTTCTACGCTCAATACATAGTCCTAGATATGTGGTCAATTTCTAATCAAGTCGAATGCTAACGGTTTAACATACCGAGTGGCCCTCTAATGTGCTGAGACATTTCAGGGACTTTGACGAGTCGTCGCATCGTTGGCTTACAGCCGGAAAAACCTTGGCAGATTCATCTAAAGATGCTGTGATCACGTATTTATCGTCAGAAGAAAATCGAACGTCATAGATAGAGTCCGAGTGGCCGCTGCACGTCCAAATGTTGGCTTGGGTCTGGTCCTGTTCAAAAGGTTCTTCAACGTTTGGTATTGTGTCCGGTTTCCATACTCGCGCGATCGTTCCGAGAGTAGAAGCGATGAGATAATCGTTTTGGTTTGAAAATGCCACCCCTGTCACACCGTCTGGTAATCGAATAAGGTGCAGAAATTCCCAGGTAGTGGTGCTCCAGAGTCGAACCGTGCGATCGCCACTCCCAGAAGCAAGAAGCTTGCCATTTTTTGAGATGTCTACCTTGTAGACATCATCCGTATGCCCGACAAGTGTTTGGATGACACTTCTGGACTCGATGTCAAGTACCTATAAGGCGTTAGATCAGCGTCGTGATGGGGAAGACGCACTTATGCACGTTCGAACGGACTAACGCGGATCAGTCTGTCTTCTGAGCATGTAATGAATAAATCGTCGTTCGGATGAAAACAGGCGTCCCTGTAATACATATCCCCATCACCCCCCTCAACGCTCAGTCCTACAATCTCTTCAGAGTGCAGGCTGCAAATGGGTTCTTCGGTGCCAGTATTGAGAACTTGAAACATACGATTGCTGCATATTCCGACGTAATGTCCTTGCAGACTAAAACACACATCGGTAACTGGGTGATCCAATTTACCTGTGTGTAGGAGGGTGAGGTCAAACATCTTCGGGATGGTAGGATTGTGGACAATGAACCATCCATCTCCTCTGTCTTTGTGGCTGGGCGGTAATGATTCGAAAGTGACGATAGCCAACTCATCGGGGTAAACATTGCCACGCCTTTGCTTGTCGTATAAACCGAGGAATAGAGAGATAGTAGCCAGTGTACCCATTCTCTTGATCAGGACTTTCCACCCGCGCGATAAATGGTCTTGGCCTAGTCGAAACGCAGTACCCTTCTGGGAATATCTCTCACCATCCGGGACAGCGCCTGCACTGTTCAAATCTCCGACTTCGCCTGTGTAAAGTCGTGGGAGTGAAAAAAGAGAAAGCTGTACAAGATGATGACCAACATGTCTGCGAAACGAATCTGTATCAACATGAACGTCAGCATTCTCATATTCGTCCTCGGTGTCACTTTGGGCAGGCGACTCGGCGTGCGGCTCAACGGTAGCCCACTGGTCGTCACAGAATGGGCAATCACTGGCCAAAATTTGCCTTGCTGGTCGCCTGCATTGGCTAATAAGCGACGGATGTTGACTGGCCACTACATTGCTTCCGTGATAGCTATGCATGTGTTCTCTCATGTCCTCGAAGCCTTGAACCGTGTTGGCGCATAAAGGACATTCCCAAATCGTACGATGGACCAGTAGCTCGTGTTCAAACCAGGTATAGGCCGAAGAAAAGGTATCCAAGGTACAAGTTTGGTCAAGACACAGGTATGGTTCCAAGTCATGGATAATGTGTTTCCTATTTGAACATCAGTAATGATATTAACGGATCGGGCTCTGTAAACTTGCCGCCATTGCATTTCTTTGTTTTTCGTTTGCCAAAGAACAATTTCTAAGCAATATGGACACAAGAACGAATCGCTCTTCTGCCCCTCCTGGGGTATCGGCGGAAATTGAAGCTCTGTGTCAGAAGCTTCCACAACTGTGGTCGCCATCGAGAAGACCGACATAGCAGGCTCTGGACTTGAGATCGCGAAGAGTTGTGCCTCTGATGCTTTGTTTCTCACAAATTCCGTTGCTTCAGTCTCCGCTAGAATGCTGGGCTTGGTCATACCAGACACGATTGACCCTTGTCGGAGGGGTTCTCCGTCGAGTGGCTTGGGCTCGGTCCGTAAGTGGGCGTCTCTTCTTCCAATGAGACTGTCGTCTAGTTGGGAAGACAGCTTTTCTTGATGTTGCTGACGATATTTGAAGTATTGTCTTCGCCGAGCATTCGCTTCCGCTAGACGTATTGCCAAAGGTTCGTTGGTTTCCCAAAGGAAACTGTACTTATCTTTGATGTACATCAAATCAGCAGTGTTGACGAAAGGCTTCGTTTTGGAGGCTCGTTGGCGTCTATCCTCGGCCGCGAATTTGCGGATGAATACAGAAGCTTTGAATAGGCTGTTGAGGCTTGTCCTGATTGCTGATAGAAGCTTCTGTATCTCCGAAGGTTTGTCGTGTCGACTATCTCGACTGCTGTTCGAGGTAATAGATGCGCCTGACTCAGAGCTGCTAGAGGAAATGTCGAACTCCTCCAGTTCTTCCTCAGTAATGTCCAATGTCGGCATAACTCTGTTAGGTCGACCGCCCGAGACGATCTCTGTAGCTATAGAGCACGCATTAACGTTTGAGAAACAATATCGAAGCTGGAACGTACCCATTTTGGCAGACTCGTTTAAATCCTCAAGCATGCTGAAGATGGAGGCTCTGACCGTAGGGCTATCGCGTAGGCGATGGTCGAGCGATAGCTTGGAGCTCAGCTGTCGAAGAGCGCCCAGATTCTCGGCCCATTGCTCGAATCTTTCAAATAGTTGCGCTAAGTCCCTCTCTTTTAGTTCATACTCCCATTTGTTTCTGCTTCTTTCGAACTCCTGGGCAAGACTCGAGAGACTGTCGTAGCAGCGGTGTGCGGCTGGGGAAATCTCAAGACCCGCCATTCTCAGAACCGTGTTCGTGGTCTCTTCGTAATCTTCCCGGCTGATTCAAGTTCTTAGTACGTTCTTTGCGAGATGACTGAAGATGGATAGAGGCCATTAGGGGCTTTTCGTTGGGAACAGGGTAGTCAGGGAACCAACGTGCATCAGGCTGCGTATGCACGATTCCATGCGTATCTTCATTCTGATTTGTCCGGGCCAAGGTTTCCAAGGCATTTATTTCCAGAGCCTTAGGATGACTCAGATTACCCCGCAGCAAACGGTTGGAAATAAATCTCTCAGCATTACGACGTCACTCATTATGGGAGATTGCCTGTGATCAACTAGCCTGACTGTCGCGAGAAGCGCAGACTGATTGCCGCCATGTCAGGTTTCGAGATTGCTGGCGCTGTTCTAGGTGGTTTTCCAATTCTTCTCAACTGCATAGAATATTACCACGGAGCCTTTGAGCCGATGGAGAATTGGTGGCACTTCCGAAATCATCTCATCGAGTTTGTCGACGATATCAGGCACCAGAACATGAGATATCATGAAAATCTCATTCAACTTCTCGACCCCATTATTCCCGACAATGAGAGTCTTATGACCTTGATAGGAGACCCCACGGATTTGCGATGGAAGGATGGTAGCCTTGAAGACCATTTAAAGGACCGCTTCCCAAGTGAGCTGGATCGCTTCCTTCGAACCATCGAGAGGATGCACGACGTGATGTTGGAGCTTTACAAGGTTCTTCAAATTCAAGATGGAAAGGTAAGAATCTTTAGATTCCATTGGCTCTGTAGTAATGACTGATCCCTCGTTGAACAGGCTCCTTGGCTTGGAACGGCACAACACAACCCAATGCAGTGGTACTGTAAGCGGCTGCAGTTGAGCTTGTCTAAAGGCAAACATAAAAAGGTGCAAAAGCTTGATAAACTCAACCAGGTTCTGCGAGATATGGTGGGATTCAGTGAGCGCACTCTGCCGATATCTGATCGGAGAAAGTGTTCCGGCCCTGTACGCCGTCTGGAGAGCGCTCGCCAACACGCGTGCCGTGTGTATGAAACACTGAGAGATCACTGGAGATGCCACCAAGGTTGCAATTGCCACAAAGCACACCTACGACTGTGCGGCGACTCCGCTCCCGAGACATTATCCATGGTTCTTGTTTGGGGAACTGGGGACAGCACGGATTCATCACTCAAGCCCAAGGCGTACGAGGTCATGATTCAGAATACTAAAGACCGCAACCCAGCAACGTCCTCAGACATCAGAGTTGTCCAGGGATCGGCGACGTTGTCTCAAATTCAAAGCATTACGGAGCAAAAGACACAATACATCAGATCCAGGCCGTCATTCCTTGATAGGGTTTCTCACAGATTACAGCCTAAACCGGCTGCAATCACTGGCTCAAACCAATCAACCCCCACGAAGAATGTCAAGTTTTTTGAGCCGAGTCCAGCTATATGTATCACACCGTCCGAAAAGGAAGCTGTTATGAAGAATGGCGGGGTTTTCCTTCCCTGTCGGAATAATGACGAACGGTCCAGCAGGCAGAACATCGAAAACCTTTGCGCCTTTCTGGAGGAGACATCATGGAACGAGGGTGTACTGCATGACGATTTCGACAGGCACCTTGTCTTCAATAAAGATTCATCAGGCTTGCGAAGAATCATTCCCGGCAAATTGAGGCTTTTGTCTCTTACCGAATTGCTAGAAGCACACCACCAAGCGGATATAACCCTTTCAAGGCAGTCACGGTTCGAGATAGCAGCCCATATCTCGGCGGCGCTACTAAACACGTACCCCTCGCCTTGGATGCCTTCTTCATGGACGAAGAGCAGCTTCTACTTTCTTGTTGACGATGAGACGCTCTTGAGCTGCCATCCATTTTTGTCAAACACATTTGAGCTCGACAAGAAAGAGAGCTCGCCTTCCGAGGAATCGATGTTCACCAAGAACATATCGGAACAGGCGGCCCGCAACTACATGTTTACTGTCGGCGTAATAGTTTTGGAGCTGATATTTGGGCATGATATTAGCCATTGCCGCTTCCGCAAAGACTACCTGCAGGATAACAGACCTAATGAGCTTACAGATAAGTTTACTGCTCAACGGTGGGCGAAGAAAGTTCTTGGTGAAAGTGGACCAAATATTGCGGATGTTGTTAGACGATGCCTAGACTGTTCTTTTGGTCCAAGGCCGATATTCTCAGACGTGCGCTTTAGAGAGTCGATTTACGAAGGAGTCATCAAGCCTCTGGCATCGTACGCTAAAATATGGCCTGAAGTGATGATTTAATGCCATCAAAAGTCAACATCTTGTATATGTACTCTACACGGTTCATTCACCTCAGGCACTCTAGTACTACCTCAGTTATTGTGAACGATCATCTTGCAGGCGTTAATGAGAAACAGGGCCACCGGCCCGTAAAAGCTTGTTCACTAAGGTGTTCGGGACGGCGCGGAGGTTGTGTGGGTCTCCCGATCCCACTAACGGGGCCGACCGAGCGTACGGGTGGCTGGCGTTGTAGGCGTCATCGATGATTGTTCGCAGCATCATCTACTTCATCCCTGTTTCGCATGTTTCTCAAAGCGTTGTGGGCTTTTCCTGTCATTTAAAGTTGGAAATGATGCGAGCTCTTACTCGTACACGCACGCCTGTTAACTCGAAGTTCCACCCAGTTTTACGCGATATTACAGCATCGTGCTTACACCCGACTCGCAAACCTCTGTCATATTCATCACACAAGATGCCTTCATCCAAGGGAAAGCCTACTGATCCCGAGTTGAGGGAGGAGATTAAGGAAGGTATGAATGAATGAGGAAGACTGATGCAAATGTGACAATGCTCACATTCACGGCCAGAAATCAAGCAAGAACCCAACAAGTCGGGCGGAGGAGAGGGACAATGGGCCGCATGGAAGGTATATCACTCTTCTATCTCAACCCTCAATGGCTTCAAGTTTGCTTCAACACTGGTCTGAGCGATCAACTGACTGATCCCGTAGGGCGCGAAATTGGCAAAAGAATACGAGAAGCAGGGCGGCGGCTATGAGAATGAGGCGGGGTCCAAGAATGAGCCGAAAAAGGGCGAGCCCGAGAAGAAGAGCGAGAGCAAGAAGAAGGCTGAGACTGATGAATAGTTAGTCAACATTTTCATGGTGTTTATCTGATATGAACTACGGTTGATAATTTGCAAGCTTTTACTTTGGTCGATTTTTGTTGATTCAGTGATGCTCAAGATGTCGCTGTTTACCCTTCTTTTTTAACGATGAGCGGAAGGGCGCGATTGTGCCGCATTTCCGTGAGCTATCTGATGGGGAAGGTGAGATGTCGAAGGATTCACTCGCACTCAAATCTGACTCTTCTCGCTTCTCTTTACCTCTTCACAGTCTCACCAGCTTCACGAGATGGAGCCAGTGTACTTACCAAGTTCCAACCCGAGAGTCGACAACATCACTGCAAAATGGAGCATCTCACAGAAGACACCGACTTCCAAGACGAAGACGACTGCTGGACCCCTCTCCAAATCGCCGCCCGTGAAGGCGATCTCCCCGCCGTCGACGCAGCACTCGCCTCAGGAGCAGACGTCAACGCCCCGCCGCGGGGCTACTACGGCCGGACAGCCCTCCAAGCCGCCTGCGAAGCCTCCCACGGCGCGGTGGTCTCGGCGCTCCTCGCAGCCGGCGCGGAAGTCAACGACACGCCCGGCAACAACGGCGCCAAGAACGCGCTGCAGATCGCGGCAGGGAAGCCGGACCTGGCCATCGTCAAACTCCTGCTATCCCACGGCGCCGAGGTCAATGTCCCCGCGTCGCGGTACTTTGGCATGACTGCGCTACAGAGCGCCTGTGCCGCGGGGCTAGACGACACCGTCGCGCTGCTGCTGGATCACGGCGCGGACGTGAACGCGCCGCCGGCGTCGACGGCAGGTCGAACGGCGCTCCAGGCAGCGTGCGAGGGCGGTTTCGAGGAGATGGCGGCGATGCTGATTCAGCGGCGGGGGGCAGAGGTGAACGCGCCGGCGTGTCGGAATCGAGGGTTCACGGCGCTGCAGGCGGCGAGCTACGGCGGGTGGGCGGGGCTTGTCGAGCTGCTCCTTACGGCGGGGCCAGCTGCAGGCGTTGCAGGTGCGGGGGCGGATGTCAACGCCGAAGGGAGCAGGTTCAAGGGGGGAAGGGCGCTGCATGCTGCTGCTGAGGGGGGCCACGTGCGGGTGTGCGAGACGCTGCTGGGCGCCGGGGCCGAGATCGAGGCTGGGGCTGGATGGGGGGGTAGTGGTAGTGGTAGGGGAGGGCAGACTGCGTTGCAGTGCGCTGCTGCAAGGGGGCATGATGAGGTTGTAAGGTTGTTACGGAGCAGGGGGGCGACGGGATTGGAAGGTGGAGGGGTGACTTTGTTTGGTTGAGGTTATCATGTTGAGCACCGGTGGGAGGAACTATTGTGCATACAGGTTAATTAAGAGCGTGGATTGGGAGATAAGCCCATGTTCCAAAGATACGAGTGTTTGGATCAGAAGTTGATGCCGGTCAATTGGAAGATACGAGTTCAATTGTAAGAAGAACGAGATACGATATCAGAGTCTCTGCAAGAGATCGAGAGATGGACAAATCAGATTGTAACGTGGCCCAAGAAAAGAGAAAAGGGAACTCTTCTGGCTGGGTGTACCTTAGGTACTAAATTGCACTCATTGGTGGCGCATGAAGACCGCAACCAACACCATACACCTCACACCTCACACACCAAACTTTCCCACCATGACACAGGCCGCACAACCACCCATCTGTCAGAACATCAGCCAAGTCAGCCGACTCTCCCAAGACAAGGGAATCCCTCGCCTCGAACCGGTTCCACAACTTAGCGGTATCGCAGTATACTACGTAGTAGATGTGTCTACGCATTACACAGTTGGTAAAAGAATGGTGCGGGCGTCACGGCCGCGTTCAACCGGGGCAATTCCGGCCCCGCCTACCATCGGCTTCCACCGGCCTCCGTGACTGCTTCCCCCGCCGGCGAGACCTGCCCGTTGCGCACTCCCCGGCCCAGGCGGAAGACTAAATAGGCACGTAGCCACAAACAATTACCTAAAAATGTGTCCCAGATTTCCCAGGCGCAGTTCCTTAACCCTCGACTAAGTATCCTTCGTCCGTACTTCTTGATAGTTGTATCACCTTCACAGCGCATCCGCTAAGACGCTACCCCGTGACGTAAGACTTGGCTTTTACCACAATGAGCCGCTTCGCATTGTGGACCTGCTGACCATCTTTGGTGTCCTGATTCCTGTGCCCTGGTGAGACGGAGGGGGAAAAGAAGACGAAGAGGAGGGGCTTCGAGGTCCTTTTTGTGCTTTTGGGACATTATTGTGTATCGATCGAGGCTATCTGTACATCAGCTCACTCTCACACTAGGCCGTCCTTGCCAGTCCAGCCCCTTGCCCTTTGCCTCACGCCCCCTCCAATCCATACCGTATCTCACAGCTTTCGATTCAACGAGGCGCTGTGATCCTGGAATACCTGGGGTTTGACTGGGTCTTCCCCGCCAACGCTTCCCATCGTCTCTAGTGGGGCACGTCTTGTGCGCAACGCCCGCGCCAGTACAAGCCAACTCAAGGTACTTTCTGAAGCCGTCTGGAACACGAACCAAATTGATAAGAGGACGGCGCTTTGTCCCTTTTTACTTTATCCTTCCCGACCCCAGCTTCTGGAAGCTGAATCTGACTCTCTTCCTCCCATTTTCACATTCTCCAACTACCTTGCCTGCATCTGCCTCTCTCATGTTTGTTCATGAGTGGTGTGACGTGATTGACCAGAAACAAACAAGACACCACCCACCATAATACACCCAGAAGCTATCTTGCCTACCTTGACACCGTAGACAAGAAGAAGAAACACAAAATCCAGACAATTCTACACCGAGTCAACCCAAAAAGCCCAAAAAGAGAGACAATAGACATCATGGGCTCAACCCACGAAACAGACCTGGTCCTCACCCAACCAACCCCAGCAGAGCGCCTAAAAACCTACACCTCAACCTACGCAAACTGGGGCGCCGCCCTCGAGCTGCAAGAATACATCCGCCGCGAATCCTACATGACCACCGTCCCCGTCTCTCGCAACGGCGGCATCACCCAATGGATCCTCACCGACCCGACCTTACCCCCCGACGCCCGCCCCATCCTGTCGTCCTGCGAGAGCATCCGCAAAACCGTCCTCGTCGCGAAACCAGACGGCACCGTCGTCGACGCCACCACCCATGCCGTCGGCTCCGTCTTCACGGACCCGGCGTACCGCGGCAACGGGTACGCCTCTGTGATGATGAACCTCGTGGGCGCGCAGCTCGCGCGCTGGCAGGGCGCTGAGATGAAGAGCGGGGAGCGGTGGGGGGATATCCGGGACGGGGAGGTCGCGTGCTCGGTGCTGTATTCTGATATCGGGAAGAAGTTTTATGCCAAGCATGGGTGGCATCCGTATGAGAGTACGCACCTCGAGTTCCCGCCGCAGGCATCGCCGCCACCCTCGGAAGCGGGGACCGAGGAAGCGGTCGGAGCGGTCGGAGCGGTGCAAGTCGAGGCCTCGCCGCTGGGCTACCACGAACTCGCAGAGCTCTGCTCCGTAGACGAGCGCCTCATCCGCGCAAAGCTCGCAAAGAAGAGCACCAAGACTCGTGTCTCGCTCATACCGGACCTAGATGCCATGCTCTGGCATCTCATGCGCGAGGACTATATGACCAAGCACATCTTCGGCCAGACACCCACGGTCAGAGGCGGGGTCGTAGGCGAGCACGGGTCGCGGGTATGGGCTGTGTGGACGAGGGGTTACTACGGTGGATTGAAGAAACCCGAGGGAAACACGATGCATATCCTACGGCTTGCGATTGAGGACGAGGAAGGGAGTGGAGATGAGTATGTGCAGGGGGCTATCGAGGCGTTGTTGAGGTTGGCGAGGGCGCAGGCAGCGGAGTGGAAAGTGAATGGTGTTGAGATGTGGAATCCTGAGCCCAGGGTCAGGGGGTTGATTGAGAAGGCGGGCATTCCGCATGAGTTTATTGAGAGGGAAAATGATAGCATCGCCAGCCTCATGTGGTATGGCCAAGGAGAGGTTGAATGGGTGCTCAATGAGAAGTTTGGCTGGTGCTGACGGATTGGTCACATATTTTGCATATCATTAGCAGGCTTATACAAGTGGCAACACGTTGTTTCAATAGGAACTTCAAATATTTCACAGGTCTGGACATCCAGGCCGGCATGACGAGGTATCATTAGCAAAGTGATCTATGAACCGTCTAACCTTGAACACTCCCGCAATTGGCCCATTTTTGCTTTTAATCTTTTTTTCCAAACACCACTCACTTTCTTCAGTGGCCGTGTCCGTCGTCCTCGGCCTGCTGCTCGGGGTCCAACTTGATCAGGGTATCGATACGCATGATGCTGATGCAGGCCTCCACGGCACTCTTCAACTGCCTGATCTTGCTGATGGTGGGCTCCAAGACACCAGCCTTGATCTCGTCAATCACCTTGCCGCGCACCAGGTCGAGACCGTAGTTCTTGTAGGCCTTCTTGCGCGCGACCGTCTTCTCGTCATCGTTGGCCTCGCCCTCCTGGATGCGCTGAGACAGCGCGTGCCGGGAACGCAGCTGGGCGACGAGCTCTGATGCGTCCTTGGCGGCGTTGACGGCAAGCGTCTTGGGGATAACGAGCAACGACTGCGCAAACTCGCCAATGGCCAGCTGCTCGCGGGAGCCGACGGTGCCGGCAAACTCCTCGAGGTAAATGTGCAGGGCGGTTTCGACGGAACCACCGCCGGGAACGATGCTGCCGCTCTCGAGCGTTCTCTTGACGGCGTTGAGGGAGTCGTGGATGGAGCGCTCCATCTCGTCTAGGGTGAAGTCGTTGGGTCCGCGGAGAATGATGGATGCTGAGGAGTGGCTCTTGGTGCCCTTGACGAGGATGCACTCGTCGTCGGAAATGCGCTCCTGAACAACCTCCTCGGCGTGTCCGAGGTATGAGGGGTCGAACTTCTCGTCACCGTTGAGATCCGAGAGTGTGCTGAGCATGGTGGCGCCCGTCGCCTTGGCGATTCTGCGGAGGTCCTCCTTCTTGCATCTGCGAACGCCCATGGCACCCTTCTCTACGAAGGTCTTGAGAACCATGTCATCGATACCCTTGGTGGTAAGGATGACGTTGGCGCCCGCCTTGAGGATCATCTCTACTCTCTCCAGGATCATGCCCGACTCTCTCTGGCGAATCTGCTCCAACTGTTGAGGGTCATCCACCGTGATCTGAACACCCAACTTCATGCGCTCCTTTTGCAGGTTCATGTCCAACACCGCAATCTTGGCATCTTGTATTCTTGTCGGCATGGCCTGCGAGGCGACTGTGCAGTTCAGAGCGTAACCCTTGATCAGCTGGGACTCGAGGGAGCCCTTGCCGTGTGCCTTGAGAATGTTGACGGCCTTGACGGGGTATTTTGTCTCGTTGCGACCGTTTGTCGACTTGACTGCCAGCATGGCATCGACGACCATGTTGGCGAAGAAATCAGAGTCGGCTCCAATAATCTTGCTGGACATGGACGTCTTGCCAATGTTGACGAGGGATTCGCGTCCGAGGTTCTCGACCTTGATGCTGATGTTCTCGTTCATATACTTGACGGCCTCGCGAAGGGCAAGTCGGTAACCGGTAATAATGGTAGTGGGGTGTATGCGGTTCTTCATGAGCTCGTTTCCTCGGCGAAGCAACTCGGCCGCAATCAGGACAACAGAGGTTGTGCCGTCACCGACTTCCTTGTCTTGTTGTTGTGCCAGGTCGACCAAGATCTTGCCCGCCGGGTGCTCGACATCCAACAAGCTGAGAATAGTAGCGCCGTCGTTCGTGACTGTGACATCCTGCGCCGGGGGGTAAGCGGGGTCCAGGGGGGAGGGGGGCCACCTAGCATACACCAATATCATCCACCATCATCTTGTCGAGACCGCTGGGGCCGAAAGAGCTCTTGACGACATTTGCGATAGCTTGGGTCGCGAGAACTGCAAGTTTGTCAGCAAGATGAAGCTTCGTCGTGATTTGGCCGGTGGGGGGGCACGGGATATTGACATACCATTCTGGTCTCTGATGTCGGCGCCAGAAATCTTCTGACCGCCGAGGAAAAGCGTGCCGCTCCCTGACTGCTCGAACATGGAAGCCATTTTTGCGCCTCACTGCCAGCGGTTGTGGTTGGATCGCGGGATTAGGAGGTGGTGGATGGGGTTGGTTTAAGGAGCTTCGGTCGGTGTGTGCCTGGACAGCAATAGAAGCTTCTGTGCTGTGCCTGCCTTGTCTCCCCTCGACGCAACTTTTTTATCGGAGCCGGGGTTGTTCCAGGAACCGGGGATGTGGCTGGTGCTTGTTATCTTATCGGGTCTGCACTCCGGGCCTGCTCAGGGCGGGCAGCCTGCAGCAAGACAGGTACCTAAGTGCCTAGGCGAACAGGAACGGTACCTCAACCGTGAAGCGCCACGTGCCCATGTTCAATCAGACTATTTTCTTAGAGCTCATTCCTTCAAGTAGAAGTATTTTAGCTTGCTATTGGAGAAATTTTCTCCAACCGTTCCTAGACTTGTTATTTCCACCTGCACTGATAGTCGTCCAAGGGAGAGCGAAGCTGCAGTGACATCGAATGTGGCTTGATCCGAGATAGACGACCAGGGATGCTCCACAATTGATTAGAAGCCCGGGCCACCTTCCGACCCCGTGGCTGGAGCCCAATTGACCCCTCACTGCGCTCCCACCCAACAGCTCGACACACGACTCACTTTTAGTGCGGGGCACTTTTTCCGCTGCATCGCACCGCCTTCTCTGTCCAAAATCTCCCAGTGACTCAGGCCGATCTGGTCAACGCGTCGCCAATTCCATAAGACGAGACCCTATCCGGCTTCACGAGACGACTCTGCGACCTGCAGTCAATACCGCAAACATGGCCGACGCTACCGCACCCGCTGAGCCGTCCAAGAGCGCTTTGAAGAAGGCCGAGAAGCAGGCAAAGATGGCTGCCGAAAAGGCTGCAAAGGCCGCCAAGCAAGCTGCTCTTCCCGTTGTTGGAGGCAAGAAGAAGGAGGACATCACGGGTATCACCGTCAAGAAGCACGAGGATTTCTCTGCCTGGTACCAGGAGATTGTCCTCAAGGCTGAGATGGTCGAGTACTACAACGAGATCTCCGGTTTCTTCATCTTGCGCCCTGCGTCCATGTACATCTGGACCGTTATCCGCAAGTGGTTCTCTGAGAGAATCGAGGAAATGGGTGTCGATGAGACCAGCTTTCCCATGTTCCTTTCCTCCAAGTCGCTCGAGAAGGAGAAGGACCACGTTGAGGGTTTCGCCCCTGAATTGGCCTGGGTCACAAAGGCGTAAGTCGTCTCTCCCTTGATAATTGCGCCAAGGCAAGGCTGATATCCAATCTACAGTGGTGACAAGGATCTCGAAGTCCCCGTCGCAGTTCGTCCCACCTCCGAGGCCGTCATGTACCCTTACTACTCCAAGTGGATTCGCAGCCATCGCGATCTCCCCTTCCGCCTGAACCAGTGGAACTCTGTCGTCCGTTGGGAGGCCAAGCAGACCACCCCTTTCCTCCGCACAAGAGAGTTCTTGTGGCAGGAGGGCCACACCGCTCATCTTACCGAAGAGCTCGCCGGCAAGGAGGTTCTCGAGATTCTCGAGCTTTATGCCGGTGTCTATGAGCAGCTTCTCGCCGTCCCCGTCGTTCGCGGCACCAAGACCGAGAACGAGAAGTTCGCCGGTGGTTACTACACCACCACTGTCGAAGGCTACATCCCCTCCAACGGCCGTGGTATCCAGGGTGCCACCTCCCACTGCCTGGGTCAGAACTTCTCCAAGATGTTCGACATTACCGTCGAGAACCCCGACAAGAAGGGTGAGAAGATTCACGTCTGGCAGAACTCTTGGGGTCTGTCCACCCGTGTTATCGGTGTCATGGTCATGATCCACGGTGACGATAAGGGCCTCGTCCTTCCCCCTCGTATCGCCAAGACTCAGGTTGTTCTTATCGCTGTCGGTATCACTGCCAAGACCAGCCCCGAGGACAGAAAGAAGTTGGAGGACAAGGTCGACGACCTCCGCAACGAGCTGCGCAAGGCCGGTGTCCGCGCCGAGTCCGATCTGAGAGACGGCTACACTCCCGCCTGGAAGTTCAACGAGTGGGAGCTCCGCGGTGTCCCCCTGAGACTCGAGTTCGGCCCCAAGGATGCTGCCAACGAGGTTGTCGCCACTGCCCGCCGTGACACGGGCGAGAAGGGCTCCCTCCCCCTTGCCGAGATCTCCACCAAGGTCCCCGAGCTTCTCGAGACCATTCAGTCCGACATGTACAACAAGGCCGAGAAGTCATTCCGTGAGCACCGTCTCGTCCTGACTGAGTGGGACAAGGTCATCCCCGCCCTCGACACCAAGAATGTCGTCGTCATCCCCTTCTGCCTGGGCATGAAGTGCGAGGACCGCATCAAGGAGCTCACCACCAGCGAGCCCCCCGAGAACGCCACCCTCCCCGAGGGCAAGAAGCAGCCCAGCATGGGCATGAAGTCCCTCTGCATTCCCTTTGAACAGCCCGAGAGCGGTCTCGTCCCCGGCGAGACCAAGTGCCTCAACCCCGAGTGCGAGGCCAAGGCCCAGAAGTGGACCATGTTCGGCCGCAGCTACTAGAGAAACGGCGACGATGATATCAAGTGGAGTTGCGGGAGGTTGACCATTTTTGGGCCGGGATAACGAGACCTATACGGCAGGTTCGATTCATGTCATGTGTTGCTAGAGAGATGGGGTAGAGCAAGAGATCATTTGTCGATTTCTCTGAGCAAAGGGCGTGATGGGAGGTTAGATAGCTACGGCTGAAAAGTGATTCGATACCAACTTATGAAAAAAATCCACGTACTCAAGTCTTGTTACTCACTTCCTACTGTCGACATGCATCTACAGGAATTTAGGTGTCCTCGGAGCCTTGAGCGCGAAACCACATTTGGTATTTACTTCTCGCTGATTATCGGGTCGTATAGAGTGACCATCGCAAGGCTTTGTCAGAAGCCGTTGACCTTTGCCATGACTTCAACTTCGTGAGAGATGATACAATTTCCAGGGGTGCGCACATCGTCATCCTCCAACCA